GAGAGAGAGAGAGAGAGAGAGAGAAAGATTCGTATTCCTCGGTGTTTTCTCTACCTATTAATAATAAAAAAAAATTAAATGTCGATTTTCTTTCCGGAAGTTATGAGAAGATAAAAATACATTGAGTAAAATCTACCCATGTTTGGGGGTTGTTTGGGATTTGCACAATTTTCTGATGTTTAGGGTTCTAGGGTTAAGTGGGTCTTTAGTGCAAGAGCTCGCGCCGACGTTGCAACGGCGCCGAGCAATCCGACAGATAAACGACAGCCGTTTCGCCTTCCACCTGCCGTCTTCGCGATATCTAGCTGCTGATGCTTGACGTATACGCGAACGGGCGCGAATAACGAATGTACGCCACGTCGATAAGCGTGCATATCGGCCGATGGTCGTGCAAATTAATGAAAATTCGCAGTAACGTAACGTTGCCTCCCTAATTGCAATTAATGCAAATTCGCGCATGGACGGTCCGATGGCGAACGCGAGCGCCATTATTCCCCTTGACGTCTACGTAGTAACGTGATGTATCCACAGCAGAATACTTTTCCGGAGGAAAGAGAGAAGAAAATAGCAAGAGAACGAATACGTTTCGTTTCTTCTAGTTTTTTCTTTGTGGATATTTTTGTGTTTCAACGAGGTAATCGCTACAGTTAATCCGTGAATACAACTACGACATCTGCAAATTTTCAAGAAGATATAAAACGTACGCAGTAGAACGAAAAGATGCAACTGCTAAATTGTTGGAAACTTCCTGCAGTGCTTAATAACGATAAAGATGTAGATATTATGTGTAGTGATGATAAATTTAATAGCTTATTATCAAATTGTTGTAAACCCATGCTTTGAAAAAATGAAAATTGTATGCTCCAGTGCTACGAAAAGTTTATAAGCGCATAATTTCTATTTCATAAAGATATAAGACAATTTGGAAATAAGCTGTAATACTAGAGTATACGGGAAATTATTACTCGTGACTTTCTGAGCAGTTCCTAAGAGTGATAATGTCAATTTGTATAATTCTAGATTCGAGAGCGAATACTTGGTGCACTTTTAATGTAAATAAAAATGTACAATTTTAACCACTTAGCCGTGCTTATTAAGTGCACATTTTACATGTTAGTAAATATATTTTGCATTCAACCCTCGATTGAACAACAATATAAATCCAATCTATCGGTCTGCATCGCAGCAGCTGGTAATTAAATGTTCGTCCATTATTGAAACGAGAAAGTTCGTTTGATGAAATCAGCCGTAACGAAGCATCACCAACGGTAACAATATCTATTAGATTAATTGTTTGATCAACTCGAAATGAAACGAAAGCGTCTGCGTACGAGGCAGTTACAAATCAGCATTATGAGCGAGAAAGAGAGAAAGAAAGAGAAAGAGAGAGAAATGAAACAATGTGTCGAGCAATTCATTCTAATGCGATCGAGTTTCCTCCGTAAGTAACCGGAGAAACGCATAAGCGCAGTCAAAACTTAATTAAATTGCTAGTGTTCCATTTCACCGCGAGCTGCAATTTAATTAGGCTATACATTAGTATACCGCAACCTCATCAGTTTAATAGTTATATACGCAGAAATTTTAATAATATTTGCCATCATAAATTTGCCGCTTAAACATTCATGTATATATACGCGCACGTTCGTATGAACGGTGGACGATAATATTAATATAACGGTGGCTAAGTTATCGTAATATGTCCCTCAGTTTTTGCGTACTGCTCAATTGCCACCAACGTATTTTTACATACTTCCGCTTCCTCTCTCTCTCTCTCTCTAGATATTTATTTATTTATCTATCACTTTCCTAGTCTTCTTTGCATCAGCGCACTTTGCAAAGTCCGCTGCGATCCGTGTCAAACCCTGCGATACCAGGAATTGTTGTGTGGCCGCGTCCAATTAATAATTCCGACCGATTAAACTACGAGCAACTCGTGATCCGCGAGCTGGATCAAGTCGAGTTGGGTTATTGTCGACGATTATATCCGCGCTTTGACTCGTTAACGAGGTTACGGAGTGACGCCGTGTCGTCGTTTGTTATTGCGATATCCGTCTCTCCGTCGAAGGATCCGCGCGAAACGCATAACAACTACCGACAGGCGACACGAAACGACGGTCAATCGCGATGATATCGGTTAATCCGAAACTTCCATCACGCTGCGTCGCGTTTGTTAGTGAATCGCGGCAGAGCTTTAGCTCAGATTGACGGGTCGTACGCAGCTTTAGCGCTGCGCGCAATCGGTTTAGCCAAAGCGTAATTGATTTAATCCGATCTTCGCACGATTCTCCTCCTCCGCTCTCTCTCTCTCTCTCTCTCTCTCTCTTTCTCGGTCTACCTATTGATTAAATCAAGGCAAAAAATAGTGAAAGCATTCTCATCGGTTGGATAGCATTTAATTCACCCTCAGGCAGCGTTACATATTCTGAATATTAAGCGTCTTCTCTCTCTCTCTCTCTCTCTCTCTCTCTCTCTCTCTCTCTCGTGCACCCTATGCGCACGACCTCGTCAGAACCGAGAGATCATCTCGCAGTAGGGTAACGTAACCGGGAAAACGCTCTCGCTCACGGGAAAACGGCACTCGGCGAGGAATCGCATCGGGAGTAGCGTTACGGGCCGTCGGAATACATTTTCGGGATTTCCCGCAGAGACGCGATCACTTTACCTTGACACGTGTTTTGCATCCGTCGTTCTCGTGACCGCGATCGATCAGATTCTCCTGCGCGTCTTTCGCTCTTCTCCTCGTCCTCCTCCTCTATCAGGCTTCCCCACATCCCCCGTCACGGAAGATCACTCTCAGTGTACTGAAATAGATACGGCGGACCGAAATCGTCGATTGAGACATGCGCGTGCATCGAATCCATAGGCCTCACGCGCGCTTGCCGTACTTATTCTATCAATTATTGTCTGTGATTTACGAGACGAAACGCCACTCGCAGAAAGTAAATAACGTCTAGCCCGATACTCGTACCGGCGCGTTCAACGTGCTAACCGCGCGACGCGAGGGTAAGTGGTCGTTTGTATTTTCATGAGTCCAATATTCGCTGTCCCGTGTGCCACGATGCTGCACAGAGAGTTTAGGTACAGCGCACGTAAATGCAACAGTCCTTCGCGAAGAGGTGCTTCCCAAGCAAATTGAATTCGACGCAAATAGAGCAGAGTAGCTTAAAGGTCGATTTAAAAATTTAGCGTCATAGAAAAGAGCAGTGCTTGAAGATGCAAGAGCTTTCCTCCCGTTTAACTGTGCCGAGAAAATCGAGCGTGCGCCGAATATGCGATCTCGAAGAGACTCTCGAAATTTACATTTGATAACAGCTTTGATAATAGCAGCGTACGATTTCTAATACTTTAAATCTGAGAGTCAGGCGCGACGAAGGTTGACAATAAACATTTAAATATTTCACACGGAGACCGTATTTCCTACCGCTACTTTTGTGGCCAGGATCACTTTATGAGCAAAACTCGAACATAAGCGACGAAATGTTTCCCTCGACACTTGAACGGTAACCGGCAATGCGGTTTGTTAGTGAAAAAAGAACCGTGAGAATGCCCTTGCTGAAGTAACGGCATCGGAGCACCACGCTAGTCCTCGTTGTCCAGGGTCTTAAGCTCCATCGATTTCGGATGAGGGTTGCCGTCTCCTTCTCACTCTCTCTTGTTCGCTCGCTTTGCCTCTCCCCCTTCTCTCTCTCTTTCTCTCCCTCTCTCTCTCTCGCCATTTCTCTAGCCGCGATATTAGCCCCCTGCATCGGTATACGTCTCACGAGGAATTCTCGCCAGGGTTTTAGGCCGCGTAAAGCTTGTCGAGTTCCAGGAGGGTGCAAAAGATCCTTGGAAGAACGGGATCGAGAGGAACGCGCAAAAGATTGAGAGTACGAGTCGAGGATTAAAGTAGAAAATGGCAATGAAGCCGCACGAACACAACAAAGGCACGTTCGGAGCTTGGAGTGTTGCTTGTTGAGGATAGATCGCTCCAACGCGGAAGGTAAAAAACATTAGGGCGGAAGAAGGGACTGATACCGTTCAATTTCATGACATCCCTATGAAAATCGGGCAGCGGTTTTGCATCGTGAAAAGCCTCGACCTCGTGATCGTTCGACATTTCTGAGATAAAACCCGTTTAAATAAAATGGGAGGAAAAGACCGATAAGCACATCGGCAAAAAATCAGTCGTCACTAAGCGACGACATTGATCCGTGCTTATTTCTGTAGCCGTATCTACTTTCAATTAAGAGTAAATTCAATTATTCAATTATTTTAGTTATATATATATATATACAGGATGCCCGGTAACTGATAGAGATACAGGTAGAACGGGTCAAAATAATCAGAAAAATTATATACTATTTTGAAATTTTCTCAATATTTATTCCGTAAGTAATTAAAATGTAAAATAAACGAATGAGTGCACGAGAAACGGTAGGACAGGCTCTGTGTGTAAAAGAAATGGCTTATCTCTTAGTAACGATGAGTAGCTGATTTCGAGGCAGAGTAACAAGCGACACGTATACGTTACTCTGCCTCGAAATCAGCTGTTTATTCATCGTTGCTAAGAGGTAAGCCATTTCTTTTACATACAGAGCCTGTCCTACCGTTTCTCGTGCACTCATTCGTTTATTTTACATTTTAATTACTTACGGAATAAATATTGAGAAAATTTCAAAATAGTATATAACTTTATGATTATTTTGACCTGTTCTACCCGTACATGGCGGTTGCTCAATCAGTTACCGGACACTCTGTATATATACAGGGTCAGGAAAAAGTATGGAAACCCTGAAAAATCTAAAAAAATATAAGTTTTACAGAAAAATGTTTCAAATAAAAGTTATAGGATTTAAAAAGGTCTAATCAATAGTCTCATCAGTTTGACGGCAGGCGTCGTTAAGGTGATGTCAAAGTCACCTTGAATTTTTTAAATAGAAAATCCCATATATTATTACATATTCTTATAGCTTATCTCGAGAGCTTTCCAAAACATTATAATAAAATATTTTTTGTTAAGAACTTTTCGAGTAATAACACTTGAAATTTCCAGCACATTGACATAGAATACAAAATATCTCGTAAAATATTTATCTTTCGATTATCTTGCCTTAATACTTTTTTGCACAGAATAATAAGACAAATTAATTGGCTAAAAAAAACAAAGTTTTTTACATAATATAAAAAAATGTGTTGTGCCTTTTAAGCCAATTAATTTGTCTCATTATTCTGTGCAAAAAAAGTATCAAGGCAAAATAATCGAAAGATGAATATTTTACAAGATATTTTGTATTTTATGTCAAAGTGCTGGAAATTTCAAGTGTTATTACTCGAAAAGTTCTTAACAAAAAAATATTTTATTATAGTGTTTTGGAAAGCTCTCGAGATAAACTATAAGAATATGTGAGGTTTTCCATTTAAAAAATTCAAGATGACTTTGACTTCACCTTAACGACGCCAGCCGTCAAACTGATGAAACTATTGAATAGACCTTTTTAAATACTATAACTTTTATTTAAAACATTTTTCTGTAAAACTTATATTTTTTTAGATTTTTCAGAGTTTCCATACTTTTTCCTCATCCTGTATATATACAGGGTGTCTCACATTCTCCTCCGGGCATTTTGTGGGAACGTAGAACAGGTTGCGGTGAACATAAAAGTCTTATACTGTTTTGCGATATTCGCAATAATTATCGAGATATTGTAAAAAATTTGTGAATGATCATGCAGAATATGGTAAATGAGTTATAGTAGCGACGACTGCTGTCGTGTACTTATACTTTAGGTCAAATTGAACAAAAAAGTTCTCTACCATTTTGCAAATAATCACATAGATTTTTAATTATTAATTAAAGAAGATGAGTGCATTATCACGCAAAATCGTGCAATAATCTTCTT